AAAGTAACAAAATGAAATTGAAAACATATGACTTATATAATAAAATATAAAAACAACATAAATATTTAAAATATAATGAAATAATGAATAAAATATAAAATAGATAATAAAAATAAATAAAAAAATTGATTGAAAATATCAAATTATAAAATTGAAAAGAAATAATAAATCATAAACATTGAATTTCAATAATTTTATTGAAAATGAAGAAAAGAACTCAAAAATATTAAAAGATTTTGTAATAATAAAGTATATAAATATTATATATGATACAATAAAATTGAGTCATTATACAGTACAAATTATCAATTTTATATAAAAATGATAATAGTAAAATGAAATATATAATGTAATCAATTTACAACACAAATACTCACATTTTTAATTTGATAAAATTGGAAATAAAATAATATAAATACATAATAAAATTGATAGAATAAATTACAAAAAGAACATAAAATTTAAATTAATTAATTATAACAAGATATAACAACTTAGTTAAATTAGTTGAAAAATATTTTTTAGAAAAATTAAACAACCCAACAAAAAAATGAAAATAAATAATGAAAATAATATAAAACTAGATATTGTATATTGTTATAATAAAGAGTTGATTGCAAAATAAATATCAATTTATAATAAAGAACAAATAAAGAAGAGAATAAAATAATATACAAATGACTATTCATATAAATGAATAAAATATAAAAAGTAAATATATTAAGATATATTATAGTACTTTTCATCTCCATTAGAGTACTTTCAAAAACAAACAGAACTGTAAAAGAAATAAAAATTATAATAGTGTAAAACTTATTAAAGAAATAACACAATTTGAAACAGAATAATAAATAAAGAAAAATAACAATATAAACTAGTTTAAAATAATAATGATTAAATTTTGGAAAAAAATAAAAAGTATATATTTAATTCAACAATAAATGAAAACACTTTATAAAATAAACTAATTGAATAGAGTTTTATTTATATTTTAATTTATTTTCATATTTAATTACTATTTCATTTTATTTTTATTTTTTAAATGAACTATAATATAAAATCTTACATTATTATTTGTAATAATTACTTTTCTTTATTTGATTATTTATAAAAGATTTCAATAATCTTAATGCATAAATTTATTTGTCTTACCAGTTAATTTTTTATTATTTAAATAATATACAGTTTTAGTCAGTATTGATAAATATTTAACTTAGACTTCTTTTTACTGTTATTGAATTATTCTATTTTTTTCTTTCATTATTTTTATTATTTCTTTTTAAACGTATTTAATATTTATATTAATGTTTAATATCTTATTTATTGTTCAATATTTATATTTTATATCTAATAATTTATCAACTAAAACATCATCATTTGGTATATAAATAATAATTTAGTTATAACTAATTAATAAAATAAATAATTAGTAATCCATTTATTTATATTTGATATATCTGCATGTTACTATCTCATTAACCGCCTTCTTAAAAAATTTTAAATAATTTTCCTCATTTACACTAAATATTTATGGTAACAATATACAGTACTTTTAGTTTATTTGCTAGATAATATATTTGACAATTTTGAGAGTGAATACATTAATGTTATTGTCAATATTTAATTATAACATCTAATTTATAAATAAAAAACTAGTTTTATTCATTTTACAAATATGATAATAACAGAAATCATTACCCCTGTTTATAATGATATTTTCTTTACATATTTCTGACTGTTTAACTTCATTTAAGAATAAAGAAAATTAAAATATTCTAATCTAATTAAAAAAAACCCAAAAAATAAAAATAGAAATGAAATATACAAAATAGATCTTAAAAATAACTAAAAATATCAAATAAATAATAATAAAATATTATAAACAAAT